TCAAAATAAAAACTTAAATAATAATCTCCACAGTGAGAGGAATATGTCACTACGACCAAATTCACAGTTTATGATTAAAAAAAATAACCCAATTAAAAGTCACATGAATATACAATAAAATCACAAGACAGTATTGTTGGATTTTTGCTTTTTTTTTCCCCATTTTTCAACCAAAATGTAATATAACATCAGTTAAACTATATTCTTTTTCAAAATTCTCCTAATTTCAAGTATACAAATAGTACACAAATATACAATTATATATGGGGATATATTAGAAATAAAAATTTCAATTTCTAGAGTTATTTTAATTTTAGTAGACGAATTGATGAGCTGATTGAAACTAGACCACCATGGAAAACCTGAAAGCGCTGGACGGTTGTTTCGTCCTAGTATAGGACTCTTCAGCAGTGCGCATCCACGATCCTGCCTCGCAAGATTCGAACCCAAGACCTATCCGTCTCACGCGCGAGCACTTATTATTATTATTATTATTATTATTATTATTATTTTATTCCCAATAATAATTAGTGTTATTCTGAATAATGTTTTCTTTTTTCTTACATAAAGCAACAACCTATGTAGTTATTTCATACCACCATTTTTTTATGGTACATAGTAAATGTTGTTTTCTATAAAAACTATATTGTTCTTTTAATCAGGTTAGATTAAATATATCGATATACAGATTTATAGAAAAGAGTATATGAATGGCTTTCTTTGCTTACGATAAAATGTTGGTCAATAATTAATCTAATAGTTGAGATCATGAGTCAATTAAAGCTATACCACTATGGAAAACCTAGAAGCATTGGACAGCCGCTTATTCCTATTGTGACACTCCTCAGCAGTGCATATCTACGATCCCGCCTCTCGAGATTCGAACCAATCAGTTTCGCGTGAACACTTAACCTACAGACCACTGAGCCAGTGTTAATGTGCTTGTGAATTAAGGCAATATCGAGGCGATATTCACAGTATGCATATATGCCAATAAGAGACTGATCAATTGCAGCCCTACATAAGAATGGAAAGATTCAAGTCAACAGTACCAAGTGAATTTATTTTCAATAATGATATTGATACATTTGCAAATGTTTCTTGATAGTTTAATTAATGTCTTATGCCACGTTATTATTGACATATGTATATGCATTATCTGTCATTCTGATCTACAGAACTGTCAAAATAACAAATCTATTGGTGCAGTCTGCTTAACAAGAATTCGAATACTGTTTTCTAAGGAAATAAGTTTAAGGAAATGAATATCTGTTCAAGTAGTATTCATTACAATTATCTTGCTATTAACCTATGGTTACTTTTCCAGATGATAACCTAACTATATCATGTTAAAACAAAAGTATGTTGTATGTATTACTGCATATCAATACAAATCAATATAACAATTTATCAACCACCCTATTACAACAATTGATATAATTCATTTGGTGTTGTTTGCTTGTATCTTCCCATTGCTTTTTTTTAGGACTACAATTGATCAATCTCTGATTGGTATATGTACATTCTGTATGGATTGCCTCAATATTGCCTTAAGTTACAAGCTTTTTAAGCAAAGATGGATATTGACTTACTTACTTACTTACGCCTGTTACTCCCAATGGAGCATAGGCCACCGACCAGCATTCTTCAACCCACTCTGTCCTGGGCCTCCTTTTCTAATTCCATCCAATTCTCGTTCATCTTTTTCATGTCTATTTCCATTTCTCGGCGTAATGTGTTCTTTGGTCTTCCTCTTTTCCTTTGGCCTTGAAGATTCCATGTGAGGGCTTGTCTTGTGACGCAGTTGGGTGCTTTTCTCAATGTGTGTCCTATCCACTTCCAGCGCTTCTTTCTGATTTCTTCCTCCACTGTGACCTGGTTTGTTCTCTCCCACAGTATGTTGTTGCTAATAGTGTCTGGCCAACGGATCTGAAGTATTTTGCGTAGACAACTGTTAATAAACACCTGTATCTTCTGGATGATGGCATTCGTAGTTCTCCAGGTTTCCTCCCCATACAGTAGAACTGTCTTGACATTTGTATTGAAAATCCTGACCTTGGTGTTGGTTGACAGTTGCTTTGAGTTCCAGATGTTCCTCAGTCGTAAATATGCTGCTCTTGCTTTGCCGATCCGCGCCTTCACATCTGCATCAGATGGATAGTGACTAACAGTGGATATATGTAATTATGAAATAATTCTTCAGACTGATTTCCTGTTAAGTATTAAATACGCCTTAATTGTTTGTTTGTTCATTTGTTTATGTATAATAAGTATTTGGTTAGATTTAATATCATAAATAACAGAGTTTGATAAATTGTTTATTGAAAGAGGTATACAGTTTTAGTTATGTTTGTGTGATTTTTTCATGGGCATCTTCCTATCTATGTATTCACTTTTACTATTGTTGTTATTCATTTACGATCATTGTAACTGATAATGAATTAATTGAGTTGTTTACTTCGTTCGGTTTATTAAGTTCATTTCAATTGTTAAGATGAGTCATTTCGTATATAATTATGGAATATTCACATTGAGATAGACTCGGTCTGTCAATATGTACGACAATGGATAACCGATCATACAGTCAGAGGTCAATCAAACATGATGGGATAGATAACCTTAATACAAGGACAAATGAAGACAGTAAAACTAATGAAGACGATCACACACAAACAAGGTCATCAGAAAAATGTGATTTAAAACTTGTGGCAAAAATAAGAAGCTTACTTTTACGCAAACTGGGGGTTAATGTTGTTCAGTGTGATAATGAAATCTTACCAAATTGAACCACTAAGCTCAACAACACCTTATATATATTTAGTCTTATAGTCTGTTACGATAGAAAGAAAATTATTGTCTGAATGAAGGTTTATGGAAATTGTAGTAATTTTTAATGGTTGAATTCATGAGTCGACATAAGGTAGATCACCATGGAAAACCTGGAAGTACTGAACGGCCGTTTCGTTCCATCAGTGGACTCCTGAGCAGAGAGCATCCACGATCCCGAGCACAAGATTCGAACCCAGGACTTTTGGTTTCGTGGTCGAACGCTTAATCTCTAGACCACTGAGCTGGTCATGGATGCTTACTGCTGAGGAGTTCCGAACTAGGATGAGACGGCCGTCTAGTGCTTCCAAGTTTTCCGGGGTGGTCTAGTTTAAATCGACTCATTAATTCAAGCATTAGAAAATAAATTGAAAATGTTTTATCTACTACTAAAGGTATTGCAGTGTATGCTACTTATGTTGTCTAATATAAGTAGTATGTAACATCAAGCAGATGTAGAATGCCTGTCAAAAGAGAATTTCGAAGACTGAAGAAAACCAAAATGAACCCAAAAAAGGAATTGTCATAAAAACAGAGTTGGATGAGTTATGAAGGATATAAAGGACAGCTGATAGAAGATGTGCAAATGAAGTATATAATGTATGGTTTTCATAATTTATGGAGACACCGTAACAATAAATTGGTTCTCTCTACTAGACATCTTCGTTCACTACAATATCAGTAATCACAGTTATATTGTTAGCTCTCCATTATTAATTAATGATGAAACTTTTCTACTATTTGTATTCACCTAAATTTTGGTGTACAATAATTAACATATGAATTAAAAAGTTAACCAAAAATGGTATTACACAAATGCTCGTTTTATTTGAAACCGGTGTTAAAGCGACTGTAATTTAATATATCATTTCAAGATTTTATTTGATTAGGGATGTTTGATTGAGGAGTGCCAAAATAGGACGAAACGGTCATCCAATGTTTCCAGGTTTTTCATGATGGTCTAACTTCGATTGACTCATGATCCCAACTATTGAAATTAAGTAAAACTTGTAAACTAAACTAGTAAGAAGTAACTTTTGATTTTATCACACCTAATTTCACTTCGTAATAAATTATCCAGTAGTATTATCGATTATTAAATTAACGTCACATTATGGTGAAAAGTAACGTTAGTTCATATAAGTAGTTTTTTGTATGTTAAAAGAAGATGTCTAATCTATTTCGATAATGCGATGAAATTTCTAGCAAACGGTACTGCATCCGAGTCCCAGAGTAAACATTAATTCTAAGATGCAGTTACATTCAGCTGACAAGTCGTAAATAGGATGAAGCTTGCATCAAACTGGATTCTACTATTAGCCATCATCCAATTTTGTTATAATACTCAGAACTTAAGGCTATATCAAGTTAATCCGCACAGAATGCACATATACTAATAAAAGATTGATCAATTACAGTCCAAAACATTAATAGGAAGATTCAAACAAACAATAGAAATTGAACATTTTCCCATTAGTTTCTCATATAAAAATGTCTAAACAGAACATCATAAAGTAAAAGTATCAACACTGATTATAAACGAATAAAAATGAATTATATATTTCAATGGTTAAGATCATGAGTCAGTTAAAGCTAGACCACCATGGAAACCCCAGCAGTGTGCATCCACGACCTCGCCCCCTGCGAGATTCGAACCCAGGACCTACTGGTTTCGCGCAATAGGACGAAAAGGCCGTCCAGTGCATCCAGGTCTTCCATGGTGGTCTAGCCTCAAATGACTCATGATCTTAACCCATCTGATATTAATTATATATTTAACAGGTTTAACTTGTTTTTATAGACAACCTACAATCTTATGGATTACATAATACTTCTATTATATGAATATGCTTAGGTAAAATACATACACATGTCAATTTTATTAAATGATAATCATCTTAATTAATTCATATTAATCAGTTGGTTAATAGAATAATTGTGTTTTCGTACTTTTTTTCTTTTTTTCTTTTCTTTTTTTTCCATCAAACAATTGTTAACATGTAATTTAATTTATACAATGAGAATCTAATACAATTACATTATTCAATTACATAGAAACAATAATAATAAAAACATAGTGTTATTTGTTTAAGTAAATTGATGTATATAATCGAATTGTATTCAATTAAATATATGATTATTTGATTCAATCAACATATATTATTGTTGATTATTCATAATGATGATGATGATGATGATGATGATGATGATGATGATGATGATGATGATGATGATGATGATGATGATGATGATGATGATGATGATGATGATGATGATGATGATGATGATGATGATGATGATGATGATGATGATGATGATGATGATGATGATGATGATGATGATGATGATGATGATGATGATGATGATGATGATGATGATGATGATGATGATGATGATGATGATGATGATGATGATGATGATGATGATGATGATGATGATGATGATGATGATGATGATGATGATGATGATGATGATGATGATGATGATGATGATGATGATGATGATGATGATGATGATGATGATGATGATGATGATGATGATGATGATGATGATGATGATGATGATGATGATGATGATGATGATGATGATGATGATGATGATGATGATGATGATGATGATGATGATGATGATGATGATGATGATGATGATGATGATGATGATGATGATGATGATGATGATGATGATGATGATGATGATGATGATGATGATGATGATGATGATGATGATGATGATGATGATGATGATGATGATGATGATGATGATGATGATGATGATGATGATGATGATGATGATGATGATGATGATGATGATGATGATGATGATGATGATGATGATGATGATGATGATGATGATGATGATGATGATGATGATGATGATGATGATGATGATGATGATGATGATGATGATGATGATGATGATGATGATGATGATGATGATGATGATGATGATGATGATGATGATGATGATGATGATGATGATGATGATGATGATGATGATGATGATGATGATGATGATGATGATGATGATGATGATGATGATGATGATGATGATGATGATGATGATGATGATGATGATGATGATGATGAATTGATCATTCATCATTTTCAATTGATATTATAGACTCCTCAACTGTCCATGTCCACGATCTCGTTCACGAGATTCGAACTCAACGGCCTTTCGGTTACATGTAGTAGTCTAACATTAATTAATTCATGATCTTAATCAAAAACATAATCATTTCCATAACCCCATACTGATTATAAATCATATTTTTAACAATATTTATCTTAATAAATCTTTCAAATATATTGAACTTTGAAGAACACGAATTGATTAATAATATTCTATAGTATCTATGGTGATAACCTACAATTAGATTATAGACTAATTCTGAAAGATTTTAATGAATATTAGACTAATCTTAGTTTCTTTTATTATTAATATGAGTGTAGTATTTAATGAATAATTGACATTTCATCTTTGTAATATAAAAATGTATCATACTACTTATAATTGTATTTGAGGTTTATAAAGTTTAAAGATTAAAAAAGAAGAAAAGAAAAACAGGTGAAAAATTAAGTTTGTTTTACTTTTTTAGTTGTTGTTTTAATAGACCACTGATTACTTAATTACAGTTTGAATGACAGATGAAATAAAAAATGGATAAACAAACTGTGAAAAATGAAAAAAGAAAAGCAAAAAAACTTGACACGACAAAAGGATACTTTGTTTTTTTTTCTCATGGAGACTAAGTTTGATATTGGATTATTATTGTAAACCTAGAAGTACTGAATGATTGTTTCATCCTGTTATGAAACTCTACAGCATTGCAAATCAATGATCTCGCTCCTAGGATTCGAACTCAGGGTTCTTAGTTTCCATGTAGTAGTCTAATATCAATTAGTTCATGATCTTAATCAAAAAATATAGTAATCTCTACAACCCTAAATCACATTTTCAACAATATTAATCTTAACAAATCTTTCAAATCTATTGAACTTTGGATAAATTCAATTGGTTATAATGTTCTATAGTAGCTATAGTGATAATCCACTAGTGACTGGCTTCATAATATATATCTTGGAGTTCTAGTGAGAAGCAGTAACAAGTGGAGTTCAACCGGGTCAGTTGTGAGGTAGTAACTCACTGAAGACAATGGTGGATGTGTCGCTCAATTTCGTGGATTAGTTGAAGTTAAACATTAACACCATTGGGTGCCGGCTCAGTGGTCCAGTTGGTTAAGCGCCTGGCACGAGGCCGATAAGTCCTGGGTTCGAATCCGGCGAGGCGGAGTCGTGGATGTGCGCTGCTGAAGAGTCCCGCAATGGGACGAAACGGCCGCTCAGTGTTTCCAGGTTTTCCGTGGTGGTCTAGCTTCAACTGACTCATGATCTCAACTGTTTAAATTACTACAATCTCCACAAAACCCCTTCTGATATTAAGTTTTAGTAAATGTACTATGCTTTTAGTTTGTGTACATGATTTAATCCTTAGTATGGAACATTTGTTTTAAATGAATTAATCTTAATTGTTCATAGTGTTGATTTTACATGAATCACACTAACAGATGGTAAATAAACGGTATTTCATAAAATTAAACTAAGAAACATCGTTGATAACTTTCTCTTTTTCTGAAGAGTTTTTTGTTTGTTTATGTAATGAATTGTGAAATTAACTTCATGTCAATGACCATGTGTAAATAGATGCTTATATAACCAATCAAACATATTTAAGTAAATATGGATAGTGGCTAGCAGTGCAGTCCAGGACGCAAGGTTCGTCTTATTTGGAACTCGTCAATTGGATGTACCTGCATCCCAAAGTTGATGTTCACAACGATACTCGAACCCAGTACCATTCGCTTCAAACGCCATCGCGTTATCTACTTAGCTATTGAGTCCTGATAGCCACTTGCTTGTACAATGAGGTGAGGTTTAAATGCACTTGGTATTGTTTGTTTGAATCTTCCCATTGTTATTTAGCACAGCAATTAATTATATTGGCATATGTGCATCCTGTACGAACAGTCTCGATATCTCTATAGGTCACAAGCTTTATAATCAAAAATGGATACATCCAGCTGACAATTCTCAAATAAGACAAAACGCACATCCTCGATCGCACTGCTAACCACTATCCATCTTTACTTATAATGTTCATCATTTTAAGAAAAATACATATTTTGTTTACTTTTGTTCACACTTAACATTACACTTATTACAATTATTCAACAATATATATCTATGATTTCTTACAATTATAAGTAACATCACTAAGTAGAAAACATTTACATACATCGTTTAATTTAAATGAACTACAATTAATAGAAATCGTGTTTTATATTATTTATACTCCAACTTTGATAAATGATTAGATAAAGATACTACTGATTTCCTAATAAAGATTCATTGTATTTATTCTAATAGGGTTTTCTTTTGGTTCATAATTCATAATCAAAGTGATAAACTTTAATTGATATTTAAAGTATTCAAATGTATTTAATTACAGTTTACGTTCACACTTTTAAATGTTCCGCGGTTTTATTGTACCCTTCAATTTAAACAAAGTTAAGTTGGGTTTTTTTATTTCTTCTGTTCAAAAGTTTATAGGGGGGGGGTGAAAGTATTTTATTTCAATAATAATAATAAATAAGATTACATTGAAATGATAAGATTCGTTTTATGTTAATGAAATCGATAGATAGATAGAATCTAAATTGTTCATCGAGATATAATTATGAAAATGTAATAATGATTCTTGTATTCTCATAGGGAAAGTATTTTTTCCCCCATGGAAGTATGTGGATATTCAAAGATAGTAGGGGTTGAAAATAAGTATAAGCTTTTGGTTAGACACTGTCAGTAACAATCTACTATGAGGAAGAACAAACCATAATCGAGAAGAGAAAGAAATCAAGAAAAAGCAATAGAAGTGGATAGGAAACAGATTGAGGAAAACATAAAGCAAGCCCTCACACGAAATCTTCAAGGCTAAAACAGTAGAGGAAAAGCAAAGAACACATTATGTCGAGAAATGGAAACAGACATAAGAAGAATAAACAAAAATTCGATAGGACTGGAAAGGAAGGCACAGAACAGAGTGTGTTGTAGAATGCTGGTCGGTGACCTATATTCCATTGCGAGTAACAGGTGTAAGTACGTAAGTAAATATTGTAAACTAATGTCAGTTCTTTATAAAAATCTTATATCTGATTCCTAACTGTAATTATCAACTATAATTATTAATCCTACTTCTTCACACTGGTTACCTAAACCTTATTTACCTGTAATATGTAAATGAACATTGTGAATATCTCTCAAAGTTCATTCATAAATTATAATCTCCTATTCAAAACTAAAACCCATTAATATCTAAAATGTTCTATTCATTATTCCATTTTATTATTTTCCAATTTTGTTTTTTTTTAACATTATAGACTACAAAACTTCTTTTGTTCTAATTTAAACATCTGTAAATAATTTACAATGAAACAACTAAAAACTAATAAAATATACATCTATCTCGTTCTTCTCTCTTTTTCTTTCCTTTTTTTCCTTTTTTCTTTTCTTTTTGTTATATGCATATTTTTTTCTTATCATTTGGTTATTCATACACTTTTTCACTCATTCTCTCATTATTTCTCTCTACACCTTCCCCCCCCGAAACCCCCCCATCTATTCCTATCATTCATTACCATTATGCTTATTATGGATATATAACTTACAGATGTGTGTAACATAATTACATTTAATGGTGTTAATTTTGAAAAAAAGATTAATTTCCATTCCATTTCATTCTATTCCAAATTTAATTCTTTTTTCTTCTTTTTTTTCTTTTACACCCAATTAACTAACAAAATGAATATGGATACAATTGTATGTAGAAATCGTTTGGTTTTCTTAAAGAAAATTAGGTTGTTATGCTGATTTATTGTAAAAGATGACTGATTATGTTTGTTTGTTTCTTATCTAAATTTCAATCTTTTAAAATCTTTTTTATGTATCTATTTGATGAGATCATGGTTATTGAAGTTTCAACAATTATCGAATCCCTTCAATAAAAATGAAGCTAACTGTTGTATATTTACAGATTCACAAAAGTTAGATCATGCTTGTATGTAAAATGGTAAACTGATAAGAATATTAGTTCAGTATTATTTTTCTTACAGTCAGGAATTGGTACAAATTTTGAAATGAAATTTCTATTTTAAAAGATACAATTCGTAATACTAAGTAATGAAGAAAGCCAGATTGACAGAATATGGATTCTTGTTTATTATTCAGATTATTTCGATATAGAATCAGTCGGTTTATTTATGTTATTTAAACCATATTTGTTAGTATTCTATACAAATCACTATTGTAAACAGATATGTGTTTTATGGGAGAAATTATAGTTACCTTAGCACTGAATTCCAAGAGTTTTCTGAAGTGAAGGCTTTAACATATACTGATATAGTATGAAATAATTTTGAGCTTAATTCGTCTGTATAGTTCATATGATCGGTGAGGGGTTTTGTAGATATTTTAGTAATGTCATAGTTGAATTCACGTTTCGATTGAAGCTAGACGGCCATGAAAAACTTGGTAGCACTGAACGGCCGTTTCGTCCAAGTATGGAATTCTTCGGCAGTACGCATCCACGATCCAGCTCGCAGGATCGGTCCTGGGCTCGAATCCCACGATCTTTTCTTGTTCTTTATGAAACATTCAATATGATAAGACTAACAAACTTGTAAATAAGTCATCAAGTTATTTTGTTTAGTCTGTTGTTTATAAATAGTTCTTATTTAATTCACTAATTATTATATCCACAAATGTTTCTAATGTCTATTAGATAAGTCAAAATAGTACTAATCATAATATAACCGTTTGTTTGACAGAAATTGTCTACAATATGTTACTTAGAATTCGTTATCAAACGTAAAATATAGTGCTAAATTGGTGTTAATTTCAAAAAACTAGTTTTAGGAAATGGTAAACTATTACTGAATACGTGAAAATAGCACAGTATTTATAGAATTCACTGACTTAAAGGTTAATTAAGTAAGATCGGAGAAACTATGTTGATATACATCCTGGGTGTTCTAGGTTGG